GTAGCAAGAGGTAGTAGTTAGAGACTGCCATGTGGTTGATTAGTTATAGATTAACCACTATGCAGTCTTTCTTGACTTTATAAGCCTTACGCTAGACTATAAAGACTGGTATTGCAAAGGGCGTAAGTTTATCAACTTGCTCTATACAATCCTTCTTGTGTAAGGCGTTAAAGGTTTGATTAACTACCTCTTGGTTCTTGATTCTAAGAGGGTATGGCCTAGAAGCGATCTTCTTGTTTTGCTAGCTATTAACTAGTGAGATCTTAAGGAGTTGGTTGTTAGAGACTTTGATTAGACTATTGTTAGTCTAAATTTGTTGGAAATGCTTGACTAGCTAGGCTAATTTGTAAGCTAGTTATTTGTTGGCAGCGTATATGTGTATGCCTTTCTTAGTGACTTGCTTAGGTAGGTTGGTTAGGGTCTTGATTTCTAGTGAGCTAGGGGTTAGGGTAACGATTGGCTTTTCTACTGGTAGACCTTCTAAGGCTGCGTCTTCCTAGGCTAGACCTTCTAGTGAAGCTGCTAGCGTAGCTAGGTTTTGCGTGATTGCAAATACTGCGTTAGAAAGAGCCAGCAGAGCCTTATCACTCTTCTGCGCAACCTTAGCAAGTTGCAGGTGCAGCAGTTTTGGCAAGCCTAGGGCAACTGCCTTGGTAGTGTCAGTTAGGTTGAACTCTGCGCCAACTGTGTTGAAAGGAGTAGCAGTTAGGCTGAAGGTTTGGATTGAAAGCGAGGCTGGCAGTCTAAGTGCAGCAGTATATGCTAAGGAATTGACAGACTGATTAGTCAGGCTGGTTGGTTTTATACTTGGGGCTGTGGCAGTTGTAGCTAGGGCAGTAGCTATGGCAAGCGCTTGGAGACTAGAACTTAACGATAGAATAGCTAGGAAGGCTAAGTCTTTAGTCTCTGCGATTCTTTTGATTCAAGTGTTCTTTGAAATCTTTAGCAGTGCGTTGGTTAGATTGACTAGAGGTATATGCTTGCAGGTTTTTGAGTTAACTAGCGTGTTGACTGCAGCTAGGTAGGTTGCGTTAAAGGTGTAAGACTAGTTGCTAGGCAGGGGCTTTTAGTTGACAGCTACCTAGGCAGTCTAACCAAGTTAAATTACAACTGCCTATCAATTGGTTACCTTTTAGGTGACTGGGTTGCCTTTCTTGATTACTGCAATAGGCATGCCAAAGCTATTATAAGAGGCAAATCAAAGCTTGTCTTTAGTAAACAGCATGTTAGCGCTATAAGGCTTTAGAAAGCCTACCCTTAATAAGGCTTGAGGCTTTAGGTTTTGGCAAAGCTACGCCTAGGCAGTGAATTTGGCGATTCTAGAGTTGCTATTGCAGACTATACCAAGGGCGTAGAAGGAAAAGGTAGCCTACTGCGTTAGCTTGATAGACTTGCTAATACTATCTATAGCGCTTTTGCAGTCTTTAACCTTTAGATTATAAAGGCTTTAAGCCTATTTCTTGTCAACTAATAGGTTACTGCATCTAGTGTTGGCATAGATACTAACTGTATCACTAGCTTAGGCAGCTTTCTTAGATAGTGCTACCTGCAGCTGTAGGTAAGTGTATCTTCTAAAAGAGTCAATTGATAGCTTAGCTAGGCTAGTGGCTATGATTATGTTTCTAAGGTATGCTATTGAATTAGTCTTGACTGCTAGCTTGGGTGGATTAGCAGGTGCAGCTAGCTAAGCTAGTTGACAGCTTGTCTGCAAGTGCTAGAAAAGGTTATTGCAGCTACTAAAAGTAGTCTTGCAAATGCTACAAGTCTAGCGTTTCTTAACTTAGGCTACAGCAATGTAGCTAGAGTTGTCGCAGGAGTCAATAGATTGCCAAGACTAGTCTGATTAAGAGGAGGCTACTAACTTGTTGTTAGAGAGCTTTTAGGCTAGGTTAGCCTTGTTATGCTAGTCAAAGCATCTGCAAGTATCTTAATTATTGCAGTTGCTGCGCAGATTATGCTAATTATAGCTGCAGTCCCTATCCTAGGTGTTACTATTGCAGGGTTGGTTGTAAGGCTAAGCATAGTCTTTGTTGCAGTCTTGATTGTAGTTGTAAGAATTTAAATTGCCTTTCTAATTGTTTTTTTAGTTAGTATGACAGTTGTTATGCTAGTTGCTACGCTAGTTATTGCGCTAGTTGTCATGCTAGTTGTCGCGTTAGTTGTTATGGCAGTTGTTATATAGGTAGTTAGACTAATGCTAGGAGGACTTGTTATACTAAGTATTAGCTTCAATCTGCAAAAGTGGGATCTTTTTCTTAATATCTTGCAGGAAGGTTAGGTAGTTAATGCCTTTCTTAAGAGGGTTGATTAGGTTTTAAATGGCTTGATTGAATCTTTCCTATATGGCGGTGAAAAGGTTGTTATTTGCTTGCCTTCTGACAGCCTTGGCAAGGCAGTGCTAGCGTTGTATATACTAGCGTAGGCTGCTGTGATTTTTAAAGAATTTGCGTAGCGAGAAAGATGCAGCCTTAAGCTTCTAAAGGCTTGTCATTTGGTTAGGCTTGAAGCGCTTTTGCAAGTCTGCGATAAATTAACCTAGGTTGCTTTTAAAGGCGTTGCGGTTAGCTAGCGTAAGCTTGTTGGTATACTACAATAGGGCTAGGCTGTGGAGCAGCGTTAGGATTAGGCTTGTAAGAGCTGCTTTGTCCTTTGCCTCCTAGAGGACTTCTAGTTGGTTAGAGAAGGCAAAAATGTTAGTATAAATGTTTAACTTGCCTTTGGTAATTATTCTATCCTTGTTAGGATCTTTTGCGTTAGGGTTAAATACCTTAACATTGTCTTTCTTTAGACAATAGCTAGAGTGGTTGTTGGAAGTGCTAGCTAGGGTAGTAAATTGCTTTTGTTGCTAAAAGGCTAGGCTACCTTAGTTGTGAAAGGCTAAGCTTTTTTGGGTGTAAGCTAGAGTGCTGCAAGGGTTTGGCTGGTTGTCAAATTAGGTCTGCTAGAAGCCACTATGCTAATTAGGGCAAGATTAGCCAAGGCAAGGCTAAGTAGTTGACTAGCGTTAAGCCTAGTTAGCTATATCAAGGTGTTTCTCAAAGCAATCTATATGCTTAGAGAAGGCGTTAACGTAGGCGTTAGACTTCTCAGCCTAGGTTACTAGGAAATCTAGCTTTTTTATAATCAAGTTGTTGCAGTTAGAGGTTAGAGGCCTAGGTTCTTCTTTCTTGTCGTTAGGGAAGCAAAAGAAGTTAGACTTGCGCCTTAACTTAGGCTTTCAGGGATTGTTGTATAGGTTATTCTATATGAAGTTGCCTGCTTTAAAGGATTCTAGAAGTTGGGTTTTCTAACCTATTATGGTTTTGTCGACGTTGTTTAAAGCCTTAAAGCTTGGAAAGGTGTCTTAAAGCTTAGGATATGCTTTAGAAGTGTCAATACCTAGGTTGAATAGCTTTTTATTGTAGTAGCCTTTCTAGATCTTTGCGATATCTTTGTTAAATTGGTTGATGACTTTGAATACCTAGGAGTTTAAGGTATAGTATTAATTGCTTGATTTGCGTGACTAGTTGCAGTCCTAGTGATAGAATTGGGCTGCAATGTGGATAGCTAAAAGCTAGTTATTAGTAGGCTTGTTGCATAGGTTGTTGATAGTATTGTGGTTGTTAATTAGTGCGCTGCTGTTGTTAGGGTTCTTGTTCTTGTAGTTAGAGTAGTACTGATTAGCGTCTAGTCAATTGTTAAAAGGGTTGCTGGCAAAGCCAAGAGGGTTTCTAGGTTGATAGTGGAAGAGACTACCCAAGTGGGTGAGAGTGGCAGGGTCTGCTGTTGACAGTTTTGCTTGCGTAGGCAAGTGTCTAGCAACTAATTAGGCTATGGTAACTAGTTAGATTAGCAGGTTTAGCATTGAAGGTAATAGCAATGTGAAAGGCAAAACAATGTAAAAGCAGTGTAATGCAATGCAAAGAGTCAAGAAAGAAAGAATCTTCTTTGCAAATAAGTTGGCAAAGAAGGCAGGAAAGCAGTGAATATGCGAGAGACTTGCTAGTAAATACGCAAGAGGCTTAGGTATTTGAAGGTTGGTGAATACTCTAGCAAGTATTTAAATGTTAGTAGGAAGGGGCTTAAATACTTGACAGGTTAAGCCTAAATACTTGACAGGTTAGGTTGAAGCAGGTGAGTAAATGGTGCTTTATGCGTAGATTGGTCTAATCAACGCGTTAAAGGCTTGCACATAGCTAATGCTATTTGCAAGCTTTTGAGGTGACTTTGGTATTGCTAGAATTAGCAAAAATTGAGGTTTTTGGTAGGTTTGGTTTGTATTATAACTCTGACAAGTATATCTGTGCTATCAATTTATAGCGTGTTGGCAGAAAGCTACTTCAATAGCAATCTTGTAATATTGTATAAAGTAAAAGTGGTGATTATATTTGGTGGTTTCTACGCAGAGAGCGCGTAGGCTTTAACTAACCCATGCTAGCGCATAGGCTAGGTCACAGGCCACTGGGGCCACTTTGGGCCTCGCCCTCACTATCTATTTACAGCTAGTAGAAACTATCCTTTCTACCCTACCAAGCCTTACGCATCATCTGCTATATACAATTACTTTTTTACTTTTATACTTTTCCAACCTTTTTTATACAACCTAGCATACCTCTTTGTCTTTCTTTTCTGCTATCAAAACTCTCTTTACCTAGTAACCTACATTTTTTTTTATTGTTGCTAACCTAAACAAACAAACCTGCTACTTATTTACTCTTATCTTTGCAAAAAACTCTTTAATATCTGCTAGTGCTAATGTTGCTGTCAAAAACACTATCTATACCTTTATTTTTTACAATACCTTGCCTAACTTGCCTAACTGCAGCTAGAATGTTTTATTGCTATCTAACACTATGTAACACTTGTTTACAAAAACCTAGTCTAACTGCTTCTACACTTGCAACTAGTTAACAAATAACTAGAAATCCTTTGTTACTGCTAACTCTAGCATTACAAACATAATTGATGCTGCTTGGTTTGCCTCTTAGCTTTGCTAAACATGTAAATTAATCTTGTATAACTTGCATTGCTTATGCAAATCCTTTTGCAATGCTACTAATAGTATTACTATAATTGTCACTTCTTCTAGCAAACAAAACGCTAGCAATATAAACAACATGCTTTTACCTTTCCTTATCCTTGCTATCTGCATAATTAGACTTTTCTCTTAGATAATTGCCTAGATTATCCTCTCTTGCATGCTGCAAAACTATGCTTCTTTCTTTATTATAACCTTTAACTAACCCTCTATGTCTACTTGCTGCAACTGTGTAAATCGCTAGAACTATGCCTTTTCTTGCATGCTGTTAAACATGTCTAGCTTTTGTTTCCTTCCTAACCTTAACCTTGCAACCCTATCCTTTGCACCAAACCTAAAAAATCAATGCTACTTCTAGCTAATTGCCTAGAACTAATCCTGCTATGCAACTATCTTAAATGCCTTTTGCTGCAACTCTTGCGTATATATTATCCTTGCTACATGCATGCTATATCTAGCTTGCAAATCTTAAATACTGTCTAACATGCCTTTGTTATTCTTGTCAAACTTGCTATCTTTGCCTATGTCTTTTCTAAACGCCTTGTTTAAATACTAGTTTAAAATTGCAATTGCAATATGCTTTTACATGCTTATGCCAACCTATGCCTTTAGATACTGCCTACTATGCTACTGCATAATCTGCTGCATCTAGTTTAGTGTCTACTTTTACTCTTAGATTTATATTGCTTGTGTAACCTTGTCTTTTGCCTCTCTCTTGTCTCTAACCTTGCCTTTTTTTGCTCTAACTTTTGCCTTTCCAATAGCCTTATCCTTGCGCTTTACAATCTCATCTGCCTACAAAAACACACTTAGCTTATCCACTTTTTTAACTATCCTTTACACCTGCTGCTAAAATAGCAACACTAATTACAAATACTACACTAACAACTTGCCTACCTTGCATGGCAAGTACTAGTGTATAACCTTAACCTTGCCTATGCTGCGGTAATTCTTATAATATAACACTATAAAACTTGCCATGCCTTAGTCTATCAATATATTGCACACCTTGCTATATACTATGTTATAGTGCTATATCTCTATAATCTCCCATGACTATGCTAGCATTTCCTCTAACATATGCATTAATTGCAATAACCTTTTCCAAAACTACTCTACTGCTAACCTATACTTGCGCACTGCCTTAGCCTAGTATAGCATCTTGTTACTGCCTTTTGCTGCTATTTACTCTTTTTGCTTGTTTACCTGCTGCAAAATCTACTGCATTACCTAACCTTAACCTTTTGCTAACTACTTGTTGCAATTGTCTTGCAAAAATAAATATCTAACCTAGTTCTTGCTATAGTTATCCTTTATCTGCCTTTACTTAATTGCTAGCACTAACCTAAAATTATTGCCTTCTATTATTAACAGCTTGCCTAATTTGGCTTTTACTTTTCTAACCATCTTATGCAACATATCTGCTAAATCGTTTGTCTTAATCTTTATCTACTAGTATATAATCTAATCCTTAACCTAATCAACTATCTCTGCTGCTAGCATTGTAAACTAGACCTGCATCTTATACATATGCAAATCAAATATCTAATCTATTAGGCCTAGCTTAGACTTGTCTAACACAACTGTTATAAACTGCTTAACTTTTAGCTAGGTGATTTTAAACAACCTAGTTGCTGCCTCTTGCGCCTCTTTTATACTTATTGTCTTTTCTAACACTGCTATCTTATCCTACTACTTAACTACCAACTAATATATAACTAATATCTACGCTACTTTAATAACTGCCAAATACTTTGGCATGTAATCCTCTAGCTTATACCAACTATTGTTATTGCGCAATCCTAACATTGCCAACCTGCTAATCAATACATTTTTATACAGCATATGCTTATATTAATAGTTGAAAAATGCAACTATTGCATCTAAATACAACTAGTCTGCCTAGTCTTTACACTCTTACTGCTTTACCTTATCTAACAGCATTATACCCTCTACCTGCATATGCTTTTTTACTGCCTTGCAAAACTTGTCAAACAAATTACCTTGCTTTTTAGTAAATGCATATAGCAGCTAGTTTCTATTATCCTATTTTTATATCTGCTGCATGTAACATAACAACTTGCAGTATACTTCTTTATAATCTGCCTATATATCCTCTTTTATCTACCTGTCAAACAGCTTCTTTTGCTTGACATGTATCTTCTTTTTGTTAATCTTAAACAACATTGCATGCCTGCGCTGCTTTACTACTACCTCTCTTGCCTGCTTTATCACCTACTTTATGCTTTCCTATATCTACTGCAATATTACTTTATCCTTGCTAATTAGCTTAACTATGCTGCGCAACTAGGCTAAGTCTAAACCTTTTAAATGCGTTAGCTAACTAATATAGTCTAACTACCTATTTAGCTTGGCTTTTTTGTTGCTTGCTTTAATCAACTGCTTTTTTAACTTAAACTATGCTATCTAGGTTATATAGATTTATATCAGCTACTTTTCCAATGTCTCTGCACTTACCTTTGCTATCATTGCTAGCTTGCTGCCTTAGCTAACCTTAAACTACCTACTTGCTATGCGCAATTAGAAAAACCACTAGCAACGCATGCCTGTTGTCTATAGCATTGCCTGCTCTTGTTTTGCCTTTTTTACCACATTGCTATCTCTAACCTATCTACTTTTCTATCTATGCTTTTTTCTACAATAATCTCTCATTTACTATTTACCTTGCGTAATAAACCTGCATTTATTGCATTGCAACCTGTTAGACTTAGGCAGCGCAATAAACAAAATTAGGTCAACTATTAGTAGCAGGAATCAAAATGTCTGCAACTTATCCTAGTTTTGCACAATACTTTCTAATCTCTCTACTACCTTTACAACTTCTACTTGCTGCCTTGCATTTATATAATTATGCTTTCTATGCAAATAAGTTCTAGCCTTACCTGCATAACATCTAACCTTGCATTTTATGCAAATAACAAACAGGTATTTAGGCAAGCAGTCAAATAGCTTTATAATTTCTTGCTAACCTAACAATGTCTTAATGCTTTAAACTATTCTACTTAATCTTAAAATCTCAACCCTTTTTTACTTTTTTGTTTACTTCTATTATACTACCCTTGCATTAAATAGCTGCTTTAACTAGTTGTTAGTCTTTAACTCTAGTCTGTTGCAATCTTGCTTTAACCTATCTTAACCTTAACGCTTACAATTCTAACATAGCTTTACCTCTTTGCACTTGCTGCTTAGGAAACTAAAAGTTCTATAGCTAGATTCTTTTCAATTTGCTAATTAAAAGCATATTACTTTTGTTTATTTTAGCCAAGAAAAAGTCTTTAGCAGCTACTCTCCTTTTCTCTACAGCAGCTACCCTCTGTCTTTAATTATAAGTCTGCAATTTGTATAGCATTTTCTTTAAATAGCTACTACACAGCTTAGCTATATTTAGAGGTAGGTGATTTTAAACAACCTAGTTGCTGCCTTTTGCGCCTCCTTTACATTTATCATCTTCTCTAACACTGCCACTTTGTCTTGCTACTTAATTACCAACTAATACACAACTAACATCTACGCTACTTTAATAACTGCTAAATACTTTAGCATGTAATCCTCTAGCCTATACTAACTATTGTTATTGCGCAATTCTAACACTGCTAATCTGCTAATCAATGCGTTTTTATATAGCATATGCTTGTATTAATAGTCAAAAAACGCAACTGTTGCATCTAAACACAACTAGTCTGCCTAGTCCTTACACTCCTACTACTCTACCTTATCTAACAGCATTATGCTTTTTACCTGCATATGCTTTTCTATTGCCTTGCAAAACTTGTCAAACAAATTACCTTGCTTTTTAGTAAATGCATATAGTAGCTAGTCTTTATTATCTTATTCCTATGTCTGCTGCATATAATATAACAACTTGCAGTATATCTTTTTGTAATCTGCCTACATATCCTCCTCTATCTGCCTATCAAATAGCTTTTTCTACTTGACATATACCTTCTTTTTGTTAATCTTAAACAACATTGCATGCCTATGCTGCTTTACTACTGCCTCTTTTGCCTACTCTATTACCTACTCTATGCTTTCTTATATCTACTGCAACACTATCTTATCCTTGCTAATCAGCTTAACTATGCTGCGCAACTAGGCTAGGTCTAAACCTTTCAAATGCATTAGCTAACTAATGCAGTCTAACTACCTGTTTAGCTTGGCTTTCTTATTGCCTGCCTTAATCAACTGCCTTTTTGACTTAAACTATACTATCTAGGTTGCATAGATTTGTATCAGCTGCTTTTCTAATATCTCTGCATCTACCTTTGCTACTATTGCTAGCTTGCTACCTTAGCTAACCTTAAACTACTTGCTTGCTACATGCGACTAGAAAAACCGCTAGCAATGTATGCTTATTGTCTACAGCACTGCTTGCTTTTATTTTGCCCTCTTTACTATATTGCTGCCTTTAACCTATCTACTCTTCTATCTATGCTTTTTCCTACAATAATCTCTCATCTACTATTTGCCTTGCATAACAAACCTGCACTTATTGCATTGCAACCTGTTAGACTTAAGCAGCGTAATAAATAGGATTAGGTTAACTGTTAATAGCAAAAACTAAAATGTCTGCAACTTATCCTAGTTTTACACAATACCTTCTAATCTCTCCACTACCTTTACAACTTTTGCTTGCTGCCTTGCATTTATATAATTATGCTTTCTGCGCAAATAAGTCTTAGCCTTACCTACATAACATCTAACCTTGCATTTTATGCAAATAACAAACAAGTATTTAGGCAAGCAGTTAAATAACTCTATAATTTCTTGCTAACCTAATAATATCTTAATGCTTTAAACTATTCTACTTAACCTTGCAATCTCAACCTCTTTCTACTTTTTTGTTTACTCTTATTATGCTACCTTTGCACTAAATAGCTGCTTTAACTAGTCGTTAGTTTTTAACTCTAGTCTGTTGCAATCTTACTCTAACCTATCCTAACTCTAACGCTTACAATTCTAACATAGCTTTACCTTTTTGCACCTGCTGCTTAGAAAACTAAAAGTTCTATAGCTAGATTTTTCTTAATTTGCTAATTAAAAGCATACTACTTTTGTTTATTTTGGCTAAGAAAAAGTCTTTAGCAGCTACTCTCTTTTTCTCTACAGCAGCTACCCTCTGTCTTCAATTGTAAGTCTGCAATTTGTATAGCGTTTTCTTTAGATAGCTACTACATAGCTTAGCTATATTTAGAGGTAGCTATAGTTAAAGGTAGGAACCAAAATGTCTGCAACTTATCTTAGTTTTACACAATACTCTCTAATCTCTCCACTACCTTTACAACTTCCACTTGCTGCCTTGCATTTATATAATTATGCTTTTTGCGCAAATAGGTTTTAGCTTTACCTGCACAACATCTAACTTTGCATTTTATGCAAATAACAAACAGGTATTTAGGCAAGCAGTTAAATAGCTCTATAATTTCTTGCTAACCTAACAATATCTTAATGCTTTAAACTATTCTACTCAACCTTGCAATCTCAACCTCTTTCTACTTTTTTGTTTACTCTTATTATGCTACCTTTGCACTAAATAGCTGCTTTGACTAGTCGTTAGTCTTTAACCCTAGTCTATCGCAATCTTGCTCTAACCTATCCTAACCCTAACGCTTACAATTCTAACATAGCTTTACCTCTTTGCACCTGCTGCTTAGGAAACTAAAAGTTTTATAGCTAGATTCTTCTCAATTTGCTAATTAAAAGCATATTACTTTTGTTTATTTTAGCCAAGAAAAAGTCTTTGGCAGCTACTTTCCTTTTCTCTACAGCAGCTACCCTTTGTCTTTAATTGTAGGTTTGCAATTTGTATAGCGTTTTCTTTAGATAGCTACTACATAGCTTAGCCATATTTAGAGGTAGGCTTAGCTTAGACTTGTCTAACATAACTGTTATAAACTGCTTAATCTTTAGCTAGGTAATTTTAAATAACCTAATTGCTGCCTTTTGCACTTCCTTTGCACTTATTGTTTTCTCTAATACTGCTATTTTGTTTTGCTGCTTAACTACTAACTAATACATAACTAATATCTGCGCTACCTTAATAACTGCTAAATACTTTAGCATGTAATCTTCTAGCTTATACTAACTGTTATTATTGTGCAATTCTAACACTGCCAACTTGCTAATTAATGCATTTTTGTATAGCATATGCTTGTATTAATAGTTGAAAAATGCAACTGTTGCATCTAAACACAACTAGTTTGCTTAATCCTTACACCTCTGCTGCTTTACCTTATCTAATAGCATTATGCCTTTTACTTGCATATGCTTTTCTACTGCCTTGCAAAACTTGTCAAACAAATTACCTTGCTTTTTGGTAAATGCATATAGCAGCTAGTCTCTATTATTCTATTTTTATGTCTACTGCATGTAACATAATAACTTGCAATATACTTTTTTGTAATCTGCTTATATATCCTTTTCTATCTGCCTGTCAAATGGCTTTTTTTACTTAACATATACTTTCTTTTTGTTAATCTTAAATAATATTGCATACTTATGCTGCTTTATTACTGCCTTTCTTGCCTACTTTATTACCTGCTTTATGCTTTCCTATATCTACTGCAATACTATCTTGTCTTTGCTAATTGGCTTAACTATGCTGCATAACTAGGCTAGGTTTAAACCTTTCAAATGCATTAGCTAACTAACATAGTCTAACTACCTGTTTGGCTTGGCTTTCTTGTCGCTTGCCTTAATTAACTGCCTTTTTGACTTGAATTGCGCTATCTAGGTTGCATAGATTTATATTAGCTGCTTTTTTAATGTCTTTGCACCTACCTTTGCTACTATTGCTAGCTTGCTGCCTTAGCTAACCTTAAACTACCTACTTGCTATGCGCGATTGGAAAAACTACTAGCAATGCATGCCTGTTGTCTATAGCACTGCCTGCTTTTGTTTTGCCTTTTTTACTACATTGCTGCCTTTAACCTATCTACTTTTCTATCTATGCTTTTTCCTACAATAATCTCTTATTTACTGTTTGCCTTGCGTAACAAACTTGCACTTGTTGCATTGCAACCTGTTAGACTTAGGCAGCGCAATGAATAGGATTAGGTTAATTGTTAGTGGCAGGAATTGAAATGTCTGCAACTTATCCTAGTTTTGCACAATACCTTTTAATCTCTCCACTGCCTTTATAACTTTTGCTTGCTGCCTTGCATTTATATAATTATGCTTTCTGCGCAAATAGGTTTTAGCCTTACCTGCACAACATCTAACCTTGCATTTTGTGCAAATAATAAATGGGTATTTAGGCAAGCGGTTAAATAGCTTTATAATTTTTTGCTAACCTAACAATGTCTTAATGCTTTAAACTATTCTATTTAACCTTAGGATTTTAACCTTTTTCTACTTTTTTGTTTACTCTTATTATGCTACCTTTGCATTAAATGGCTGCTTTGACTAGTTGTTAGTCTTTAACTCTAGTCTATTGCAATCTTGCTTTAACTTATCCTAACCCTAACGCTTACAATTCTAACATAGCTTTACCTTTTTGCACTTGCTGCTTGGAAAACTAAAAGTTCTATAGCTAGATTTTTCTCAATTTGCTGATTAAAAGCATACTACTTTTGTTTATTTTGGCTAAGAAAAAGTCTTTGGCGGCTACTTTCCTTTTCTCTATGGCGGCTACCTCCTGTCTTTAATTGTGGGTCTGCAATTTGTATAGCGTTTTCTTTAGATAGCTACTTTACAGCTTAGCCGTATTTAGGGGTAGGCCTAGCTTAGACTTGTCTAACACAACTGTTATAAACTGCTTAACTTTTAGCTAAGTAATTTTAAACAACCTAGTTGCTACCTTTTGCACCTTCTTTGCACTTATTGTCTTTTCTAACGCTACTACCTTGTCTTGCTACTTAACTACTAACTAATACATAACTAACATCTGCGCTATCTTAATAACTGCCAAATACTTTAGCATGTAATTCTCTAGCTTATACTAACTGTTATTATTGCACAATCCTAACACTGCCAACTTGCTAATCAATGCATTCTTGTATAGCATATGCTTGTATTAATAGTCAAAAAACGCAACTATTGCATCTAAATATAACTAGTCTGCCTAGTCTTTACGCTTTTACTGCTTTACCTTATCTAACAGCATTATGCTCTCTACCTGCACATGCTTTTCTACTACTTTGCAAAACTTGTCAAACAAATTACCTTGCTTTTTAGTAAATGCATATAGCAGCTAGTCTCTATTATCCTATTCCTATGTCTATTGCATATAACACAACAACTTGCAATACACTTTCTTGTAATCTGCCTATATATTCTCCTCTATCTGCCTATCAAATAGCTTTTTTTGCTTGACATGTATTTTCTTTTTGTTAATCTCAAACAATATTGCATGCCTGCATTGCTTTACTACTACCTCTTTTGCCTACTCTATTACTTACTCTATGCTTTCTTACATCTACTGCAACACTACCTTGTCTTTGCCAATTGGCTTAACTATGCTGCGTAACTAGGCTAGGTCTAAACCTTTCAAATGCATTAGCCAACCAATGCAGTCTAACTACCTGTTTGGCTTAGCTTTCTTATCGCCTGCCTTAATCAACTGCCTCTTTGACTTGAACCGCGCTGTCTAGGTTGCATAGATTTGTGTCAGCTGCTTTTTCAATGTCTCTGCACTTACCTTTGCTATTATTGCTAGCTTGCTGTCTTGGCTAACCTTAAATTACCTGCTTGCTATGCGCAACTAGAAAAACTACTAGCAATATACACCTATTGTCTATAGCATTGCCTACTTCTATTTCGCCTTTTTTACCACATTGCTACCTCTAACCTATCTGCTCTTTTATTTATGCTTTTTCCTACAATAATCTCTCATCTACTATTTGCCTTGTATAACAAACCTGCACTTATTGCATTGCAATCTATTAGACTTAGGCAGCGCAATAAACAAGATTAGGTTAACTATTAGTAGCAAGAACTAAAATGTCTGCAACTTATCCTAGTTCTACACAATACCTTCTAATCTCTCTATTGCCTTTACAACTTTTGCTTGCTGCCTTGCATTTATATAATTATGCTTTCTGCGCAAATAGGTTCTAGCCTTACCTACACAACATCTAACCTTGCATTTCATGCAAATAACAAATAGGTATTTAGGCAAGTAGTTAAATAGCTCTATAATTCCTTGCTAACCTAACAATATCTCAATGCTTTAAACTATTCTACTTAACCTTAGAATCTCAACCCTTTTCTACTTTTTTGTTTACTCCTATTATGCTATCTTTGCACCAAATAGCTGCTTTAACTAGTCATTAGTCTTTAACCCTAGTCTGTTGCAATCTTGCTTTAACCTATTCTAACTTTAATGCTTACAATTCTAACATAGCTTTACCTTTTTGCATTTGCTGCTTAGGAAACTAAAAGTTTTATAGCTAGATTTTTCTCAATTTGCTAATTAAAAGCATACTACTTTTGTTTATTTTGGCTAAGAAAAAGTCTTTGGCAGCTACTTTCCTTTTCTTTACAGCAGCTACCTCCTGTCTTTAATTATAGGTTTGCAATTTGTATAGCGTTTTCTTTAGATAGCTACTACACAGCTTAGCCATATTTAAGGGTAGGAATTAAAGTTTAACTTAAGGTTTTGACTGCCCTATTGCAACTTTATTGCCTTTACATTCTTTTTCTAAGTTTTATGCTTTAAGACTATCTTTACAGTAGTATGCAGCTTTTTCTTTGTGTAATGCTTAGTCTATTTCTTCTTTTGCTTATCTATAAGCTAGCTTTGATTAGCATATAAGCTAAAGATTTCTAGGAATTTTAAGACATTTTTGCTATTAAAGATTGTAATTTCCTCTTGCAAAGGCATTAGAGGCACTAACTTGACTTAATATTAAAAGCCTGCTATTAGGAAAGGTTTTGCTATAGAGAGAGATTTTGCTATAGGGAGAGGCATTGCTATTTTTAAAGGTATTGAAGTCTAATCTTGTGGCAAGCTAGGGGTAGGTTAATGTGACAAAAGGGAAGTAGGCTGCCTTAAAGAATTGAAATCTTTAGTAAAAGCCTATATGACTTGCAAGGTAAATAACTGCTTAGACTTTCTCTTTTTGTAATTTAGTCTGATTTCCTTTGCCTGCAAAGAGCTTATTGTCTAATTCTTGCTTTTCTAGTCTCTGTAAAAGTAGCTTGCCTTTCCTAGATATCTAATCAAAAGCTTTAGGTTTTTTGCAATGGCTTATTCTTACAATTCTAAGTCTTTAACAAATACTAGGATGCTTTTTAGGCTTTTTATACTAAGAAATATAAACTATAGCAATATTATTACTACCCTAGCCTAAATGCAGACTTTTGCGTCATTACTAATTATAGGTTTTTTCTTTACTGCTTTTTAAACTAGAAAGTCTTTCTTTTTAGGTTTTTCTTTTAGGTAATTTTTTCCTGTCTTAACATTTTAGCGCCTCTTTGCGCTTACATTAGCCTTCTTAGCAACTAACTAATTGGTTTGTACTAGCTAGTTTTTAAGCTTTAGGATAGGTTGTCTAGTCTAAGCCTTACTAGCCTTTAGCTTTCCTAATCTTCTTATTGTAGCTTTTGGCTTTAATCTAGCGCGTTGGCAGAGGGCTACTTTAATAGCAATCTTGTAATATTGTACAAAGTAAAAGTGGTGATTATATTTGGTGGTTTCTACGCAAAGAGCGCGTAGGCTTTGACTAACCTACGCTAGCGCATAGGCTAGGTCATAGGCTACTAAGGCTACTTTAGGCCCCACCCTTACTGTCTATTTACAGCTAGTAAAAACTATCCTTTCTACCCTACCAAGCCTCACGCATCAATATGCCAAGCTTGAAAAAGAATCCACCTGCCCTTAAGTATCACATAGCAATGCTGCCATTAGTAGAAGCCTAATTAGCCTAACTAGTCAAGCCACTACTACCAAAAAATCTAGAGATTATCTAATTGTACAAATATTGTAAATCTAGACGCCTTTGAATAGTTCAAAAAGCTAGATTCTACAGCGCCAAAATTGTCAATTTCCTAAGATTAATTCCAATACAACAGATTAATCTTCTTCCAATCCTAGAACCAACAAGACACGTAATTGGCTTAAAATAAGTCACATGCCAATGTTAAATTAACTGCCAATGTCTTTGTAAGTCAGGCTTGTCGCATGCAACAGCCTAATCGCTATACATGCAGCTTAGTAGCTAGCTCTGCCAGTCCTTTAGTCAGTGAGAAGGAGAGACACAAAACCACCTACCTACCTACCTCTCAACGTAGTATACTGCTGCTGAGGCGTAAGCCCCAACGGCAGTAGCCACGTGATCGGCTGGCAGGCGGATGGAATCGTGCTTCTTCCTTACCTCTGGCGCACGTGACTAGTCAGGTGACCCTGATCAGCCCCGATACATCTCGCGGTAGTGCCCAAATCCAGTCGTGTAAGTAAGGTAGGAAAACGCCGGCAGCGTGATCAATTAAATTGAAGGCGTAAGGAAGGAATGGAATGCGGTAAATCAAGTATTATTGCATAGAAAGCTTGGAAAATAACTAAGGTGTAAAGAGTGCTGCTTGTAAATCCGTGTAAGTCTGCGTAATTGATGATGATCTTACAATTTGAGGCCCTGATCACGCTCTTATATGGAAGCGCAGAAAATCTGGTCCAAAGCTGACTCATCCTAGCCTGAAGCGGCCCGTGCCTTTTCCATTCACCACGTCACAACTACCTCTTAGTCTTTAATTTCAAAAGAGTATAGCCTAGAAGCAATCTTCTTATTCTGCTAGCTATTAACTAGTAAGATCTTAAGAAGTTAGTCATTAAAAACTTTAATTAGACTATTGTTGGTCTAAATTTGTTAGAAACGCTTGACTAGCCAAGCTAATTTGTAAGCTAGTTGTTTGTTAGCAATGTATATATATACGCTTTCCTTAGTAACTTGCTTAGGTAGGTTGGTTAGAGTCTTAATTTCTAGTAAGCTAGAGGTTAGGGTAATGATTGGCTTTTCCACTAGTAGACTTTCTAAAGCTGCATCCTCTTAGGCTAGACCTTCTAGTAAAGCTGCTAGCATAGCTAGGTTTTGCATAATTGCAAATACCACGTTAGAAAAAGCTAGCAAAGCCTTATTACTCTCCTGCGCAACCTTAGCAAGTTGCAGGTGTGGCAGTTCTGGCAAGCCTAAGGCGACTGCCTTGGTAGCATTAGTCAAGTCAAACTTTATGCTAACCGCGTCAAAAAGAGCAGCAGTTAGGCTAAAGGTTTAGATTAAAAGCAAGGCTAGCAGTCTAAGTGCAGCAGCGTATGCTAAGGAATTGACAGACTG